AAAGGTAGAGGCACTGCTTCAGCCAGGATCAGACACAGCCATGAAGTCAGAACTCTCATCATGTAACCATTCCACATCATTTTGTATGCAGAGGACATTCATTTCTTCACTTGACATTTACTGAGTAGCTATTTCTGTGTCAGAAATGGTTAGGTACTGGGATATAAAGTTAATCAAGACAAGATCCTGCCCTCAAATAGATGTAGGAATGGAAAACACACAAAAATATCCGAAGTTAAAAGTATAGTGATTATGAAAGAAGTTTTCACAGATTGTAATAGCCATACAAAGAAAAGGCATTCAGCTTAATTTGGAAAAAATCAAGGAAGACCTTTAAGTGATAGTGGTGCCTGAATTCCTAGTAAATTCAAGTCCAAGAGTCAAACAAACACTAGAATGGGGAGAAAAATTAGCAGGAGAAATAGTTTGAGGATGCTGGGACCTTCAAGGAGCTCACTATAACTAGAGCCTCAGGTAACAGAAGAATTATGGCAAGAGGGACTAGAAAGGAAGAAAGCAGAAGCCAGGTCATAAACGTCCTTGTGAGATGCTGAAGTAGATACATATCAGGATCTAGATGTTCATGTATTTTGAGGCCAGAGGAATATTATTTACTTTTAACTGGAGTTAAAGACCACCCAGAATGGAGGGGGGATTTGGCTAAGGAAGACTGAAAGAGATTTAGGGCCAGTTATTTTGAATCATTTCTGTCTGGCTCATACTTATTTTTCTCTTGACTTTTTTTCCCCCTCTCAAAGGGAAAAAATAAAACTGAACAATTCTATAACAAATCCTGTGAACCTTCTGTTCATCAAAAACATTTCTGAACAGAGTGCTATATTCTATCAAACTAGCCCAAATTAGAGAAAGATGACAAATCTCTCCAGTATCTGGAGCCTTCTAGGTAAAAAGACCAAAGTCAAATATCTGATACCAACAGAAGAAAGCTAGAGAAACATTCTGATCAGGGGCTACACAGGACATGACGCTGCCTGGCACACGTTAGCACTCTGTCTATGGAAATGCCCACTGTTCCCAAAACAAGGACATGCCAAACAGCTACCTCCTGGCTTCCCCACAGAAACTGCCAGGAAAAAAAACCTACCAGTGCCAGGAATGACCTTGGACTTTATAGTGTGGACTCACCTACCAGTACTGGATAAAGACTATCTCAACAATTCTGTCACCTTCCAGGGTGCCAACAGGTGTAGACAGAGGGCTGCCTTCCTCACCACACAAGGAAACTGAACCTCTCTTCCATGCATAGCACCCAGCTACACTCCTACTACTAATACTACTGAGAATAGTACCCCCTACTTAATGATATACACCAACTACTACTAACAGCAAGCACTGACCACCCATGAAGCATTAGGCACTCATCTCTAGTCCTCACTACAACCTGCAGAAGTTATATTAGCCTCATTTTACAGATTGAAAAAAATTAAATTAAAAAACAGAGCTCGGGGGCAAGGGTAGTGTATAGTTCAGCAGTAGAGTGCATTCTTAGCATGCACAAGGCCCTGGGTTCAATGTCCAGTATCTCCATAAATAAATAAATAAATAAATAAATAAATAAATAAATAAAACTCATTTCCACGCCCCCCCCCAAAAAACACCAAAAAAGGAAGGAAGGAAGGAAAGAAGGAAGAAAGGAAGGAAAAAAGGTTCAGAGAGGTTTTTGACCTGAGTTTGACTCAGGTCAAAAAGCAAGCAAGAGGTAGAGATGAGATGACTCCAAAGACCATGCTCTTTCCATTATATTTAGACATCTTAGAATTTTTCCAAAGAAATCAAATACTCTAAGTCTTCTTTCCAAGAGTTTCTGAAGTTGATCCATCTGACAAAGAGGCAGTCAAAAACATTTTTCAGCAATTACTTTGCCTTCTAAACAACTATTTGCTTTATTTAAGCAGTTTTTATTTGATTTGATCAAGTGAATATTCCAGATGGAAACAGATACTTCAAAGAATTTATTTATTATCTAAATGCCTTGATTTTAAATCTTATCTTTTTTTTTTTTTGGCCAAAATACACACACAGGGAGATAGAGAAGAGAGCCAAGACAGAATTTCATTTAACTAGATCAGAATGGAGATTAACAAAGCCAAAAAGCATTCAAATATAATTTATGCAGTAAAAATTAAGAGGCAAGGAATTTCAAGTAGATTGAGCCTTACCTCAACCTTATTCCTCCTGTTCTAGGAGACAGCACTCCAAGCCATCAGCAGACACTCCCAGCCTATATACAGTGAACCAGACAAAGGAGGGTAAGCAAGGCCTTCAGTCTCCCAAAATCACAGTGGGAAGGAAAGTGTGATGGCTTCCTGGAGAACCTAAGCACATACACAGGATTTGTAAATCACTACTCATTCATACACACACAGAAACACAATCTACCTTGTGTTTGTCTATAGGTGTATTTAAAGTTAACAGATTTATTTAAATAAAACAATGCAAAAACAATCTCATACCACTGTGAACTTTTTCCATGGAAATATATGAAGATAATCAATTGTCACTAGTCAAAATCAATACTTTATAAAAACTTCATTCAACAGCTTTACTGATTAAATGCTTGCCTGAATCACTTCTTTCCTCACAGAACTATAGCCACTTCTGAAATATGAACTACTACTATTAAAACATCAAAAACATGACCATTGTGGAGGTGCCTAATACAATGCTTGGCATAATTCAATAGATAGTGGTTTATGAAACAATGAATTAGGTAAAGAACTTACAAGAAAGAAAGACAGAGAAAGAATACAGTTCAACGGAAATATACGATTTTTTTTTAAATTAAGGGAAAAAACAATCCCCAGAACTATCAGTATAACTACAAATAGAATTAACCTCAAATCTCACCTGAAAATTTATACTCCAGTATACTCCAATTAGGCAATATACTTCCTAACACTCTACTGTCTGGACTTTGCACACTGCCTTTCAAGGATACAGATGAGACAGTGTACAGACCAAATTTACTTAAGACAGACAACACTTCTAGTGAAAATAATGTCCTGGAAGAGCTAAAATGCCAGTCACTAAGATGTAAGAGATTTAATGTAATGACTTCATTGTAGTAGGAGAAAATGAAGTTTCATGGATTTAGGGACATAAAGAACTTTTTACAACATACACTGTTTTCACATCCTTCTCTAGAGTTGCATACATTAAAAGAGTGACATACAAATTAGTAAAAACAGGCTCTTAAATTAATTTAGATTTATAAAAATTGGACTGAAAATCCCTAGAATTTACATATATTATGGTGTCTAAATTTGTCTGTCATCACAAACAATAGCCATACTGCTAAAAAGAAAGTATGAGTCACAATTCAAAAACAAATGAGGAAAAAAACGAACAGAGGAAAGCTTTGGCTCCAAATACCATGAAGAAATTCTTAAAATTATTGTCAATGACAGCTACCATTCTGACTGGGAGTAAGAAGGAACGGTCTACACTGTCTTCTATTCGGGAACAAACTTAATTCAGCCCCCAAATGCCCCTTTCAGCCCCATTTGCCTCAGTGCCAACATAGTCAGCCACATCCACTAGCAAAGGCAGGGAATTCTAACAAATCTGAGTCACCCCTTCCCCCGCAGCAAGAGGTCATTCTCTATAAGAAAGCCCACTCTGCAATGGTCCCTTGTTCATCTCACAAGCTGCCACTGCCATGGCCCACAAAAGGCGAATTCCCCAACCTCAGCAGCCTCCTCTATAGTCTCCCAATTCACAATTCTAGCTTCATCCTATTGCCAACGTAGCCAACACTACTCACCGTGACACTCTTGTGACAAGTTTCCTGCCTGAGAAGCACTCAACACCAGGATGCATCTGGGCCCTGGAGAATCCAGCTCTTTGCTCAACTCCCCTGTGCCCAGCTGAGCTACTGCCTTTCCAGGAACTAATCACCAGCTACCTCATAGAAGCTAAACTCTCAATGCCCCTTCTTCCCAGCCAGACTCCAGTCAGCTAAGTTCACAAACCTTGGGACGTGGAGATGGGGGGATAAGGCGGAGAAAACGCATCTCAATTTGTCTTAGGGACCAGTCACACTGAGGCCCCTAGAATTCCAAAAGCAAGCCACCCCCTCCCCAACCCCATCCCCATCCACCCCGCTATGGTCAGTCGCCAGGACGCCTGCATCAAATGCTAAGAGCGCACGCCGCTAGAGTTAAGTCTCCGAGCCCCTATGACTTCCTTTCCTGGGTACAAAAAACCAAAATACCAAGCCAACGAGGCCCCGAGTGGAGGCCAAGACCCCCGCCAAGCCTCCGGCCACTGGAGTTTCCCAGGTCGGATCCAGCCCCTCAAGGCCCGGGCTGCCGGGACCGACTAGCTGCCCCAGGCCGCTGAGCGCCAGGGGCCCGGGCCGCGTCCCTACTCGGCCCCCAT